GCGCCGAACCCCATCTGCCTCTTCCTGACCCCGAGACAGCATGCGTCCTCTCCTCGGTCTGCTGGCTGCTGCTCTGACCCTGCAGCTGGGTGAGTACTCCGGCAGACGGCCGGCGAGGCCACCTCTCCCTGGCCCGCCGATGGCAGCCATGGAGCCCTGAGCTGGGACACCCCCCCACCCCCACCTGAGACCTCTGACCTGGGATGCCTCCCAGGGACACGCGCTTCACTCACCTCTCCCTCCTACACACCCACCTCCCACCCTGCCTCTGCCCTGTCCTCCTGGCCCCTCAGGCCACCCCAATCAACCACCCAACCCCGAGAGCTCCGTTTCCTTGCTCAGTTTCTCTGACCCAGCCTCCTAGCCGGTTGGGGTAAGGTCTTATTTCAGGGATCCTCCCCACTTCATGGCACCCTTCCTACCTGCCTCTAGGTGTGTCCACTGTCCCTGCCCCTCCACCCTCTCTAGTCAGTCCGAGGGCCTAGGCGGCAACTGCCCTCAGTCTGGCCACAGCCCCTGCCAGCCCTGACCCTTCGCTCTATGGGACGGCCTGCTTCCTCTCCTTTCACATCTGGTCCCAACCACTCAGGACAGCATCTGTCCACTCAGATGCTCGAGTGAGACTGGGGGCTCTTCCCTTCTTGTCCTGACAAAGCCAGTTTCTCCATCTGGGGGCAGGGCTGCTCAGGCCCATGGGGACCCCTAAGTGATTTGGTGGGGAGTTCATCTGTGTACATACTCCCCCCCCCAGGGGGGCCATGAATTTGCCTCTCCATCTTCAGCCACTCTGCCCAGACTGCCTTTCCTGGGAGCTTAGGGTTCAGGACCCCCACTGCCTCAGGACCATCACGCAGTGTGGGGAAAACCTGGGTCACCATCAGGGCTGGTCACCCCTCCAGGTCCAGCCTATCAGAGGGTCTCAGGGGTCGCAGACCTGCCCACCAGATTCAGCCATGTCCTGTTCAGCAACCACCCAGGGCTAGGGCAGTGGGCGGGGTCAGAGAGCACACCTCTATGAGGGCCCTGCAGACCCCGTGTGGACCTCCAAACACCCCTGTAGGGCCCAAAGGCCAGGCCTTGGACTCGAATGGACTTCCCTGGTCACACAGAACCCAGGGCTCTGCTCCTGCCCTGCCCTGGGCCCTCCCCTGATGCCAGCCCGACCCTGGTGCCTCTGTACCCTTGCCCATCAGGCCCCAGCCCTGGCAAGCTCACCCATGTGTGGGGTGGGGCGCCATATAGGCGGGAGTGGCTGAGGGATAGAGGTCCACTCCTAGGTAAGATGGGTTACAGAATTGGGTCCTAGGTCCCTGAAAGTGGGAGTGGGGCAGTGGCTGTGTATATTTGCTTCCTCTGTCTGTCTGTCCCTCTGCCCTAAGCCATAGCCCACACCCTGCCTCCATCTGTCTGTCCCTCCGCCCCCGCCCACAGCTCACGGCCTGACTCCTCTGTCTGTCTGTCTGTCTGTCTGTCCATCCGCCCTCATCCACAGCCCACGGTCTGCAGTGTTACCAGTGCAGAGGCTTTGGAGGATGCATGCGAAAGTCCAGCTGCCACTCACGCAGCACCCACTGCGTCTCTGTGGGCACCAGTAAGCAGGGGACCTGCCCAGGCAGCCCTCAGGCCGGGAGCCATCTGGGAGGGGCTCAGGGAGGGGTCACTGAGTGAATGCACAGGGAGGGGGTGGGTCCTGGGCCTGGTGACGGCTGGGAGGGCTTCAGGAGCCTCTGTGGTCTCTCCTACCTACCTACGCAGGGCCCCTTAATAGCCCCGTGGACCTGCCTCTGGTCAGCAAGTTCTGTTCTATTGGCTGCCCTGACATCCACACGCTGAGGCCCCGCGCATCCCTCTCGTGCTGCCAGGCCAGCCTCTGCAACATGGACTGAGGCCACCCAGTGCCCCACCTGCAAGGTCTGCATCTCCTGCCACCCTGAGACCCCTCCCAGCCAGGCCTGAGGGGCCCCGTCCTCCTGGGCACCGCCGTCCAGCACAGCCCCTTTCCTGGGAAGTCCTGCAAGAAGTCTCGCCTAAATCCACGGCAGACCCAGCCTACCTTTGCGC